TTTTTTTTTTAAATGCTTTAAGCAAGTGGAATTTATTTAATCAGGAATTGGATAAGACTTAAGCACGTGCAAGAAATAGACGTAAGTATAATAAATAACTAAACTAATACAACCAGGCTTAATTGTGTGCGATAGAAGGAAGACAAAATTTAGTAAAACAACTTGTCTTCTGTCGCCTATCGCATGATACATAGCTAATAATGTATAGCAGACGCCATTAAGCTAGCCTAAAATTATACTTTACTTATTCCATAGAATTTCAGCTAATATAGCAGATTGCACTGTTCCTTAACTCTCTACCCAGCTTAATTATTTTTTACAGGCTGTTTTTATTACAGTAGTTTGATGAAATTAAAATTTCAACTTTCGATCATGTCGAAAAGAGTTTCTAATTCTGGGGCTGCAGCAGGATCTACAAAGCGAAATCATGTTTTGATGTTCGTTTGCTGCAAAAAATTGATAGTATTTTGAAGTAGCATTGCTGCAAAAAATTGATAAAGGTATATTTGTCTCAAAATTATGCGAGAAGTATGTCATTGGAGAGTCAACTGAAAATGACATAAAAAAACAGAAAAAGGAACTTTTTGAATTTTTTTCTGATACCGTTTCTGATTCGTCTTGCAACGAATAACAGAAAAATTATTCATCATGTTAAAAGTGAAGATCATGACGGGTCACATGCTAATGGCGCAAGCTAAAATATTTCACTAAAAAAATTAACCTAAAAACTGAGTGCACATTGGTTAACAAAGTTTAAAAATTGCCGTGGTATAAAGAAATTAAAAAGTTAGGGAAATATGTGCCAGCTGATACTGAAGCTGCTGAACTGTTTACAGATGAATTCATTGAACTCATTAGTAGTTAAAAGTTAATCTCTAGAACAAATTTACTACGCTGATGAAACTGGTCTTTTCTGGCAATATGTACCACAAACTTGGCAACCTCTATAATGGATGACTTCTATAATGTTAATGAATAACTGGTTTTTGGCAAAATTCAGTTGGTTTACCTGATAACACAAAAATTGTCCTGATTGTATGCAAATGTTTGGCTCATACTTCAGCTAAAATTTTAGTGAAAGATAGTGTATCCATATTATTCTTTCCTCCAAATTGTACATCAATCATCAGCCTAAGGATATTGGAATATGCAAATATAAAGTAGAATTTTTAAAACCTATGTTAAATTTAGAACAATGGCCAGACTATTCAAACATTTTTTAATATTTTATAAAATTTGCTTTGTGGAGCATCACAAGATCGTGGGAGGATTGTCTCCAGATACTTTAAAAAATGCTGGGCATAATTTATGGTCAGCTAGCATATTTCATGATGAAGTTGATGAATATGATAGCTGCAAATGTGAAAATTTTCAGATACCACAAACCAAAGGTTAAATTTTCCAATTGATGGATTTTTTAAAGAAATGTGGAGAAGCGGTAATAAAATGAAGATGATATAACAGAACTTTTTCACTGCGATAATAACGTCCCAATTATCAATTGACGGACGTCGAAATTTGTAGTATGGTTTTAGATCGAGAAAATACCGCTACCAATAGTGAAGAAAGTGACAAAGAGGTTATTGAAAATGAAAAAAATTTCAATTTTCAAATTAGTGGAAATTCTTGACACAGCAATTGCAGGACGTAAACAATGGAACTTTGTAACTGAATAAGAAATTATGTCCGTCTACAGAATTAAATAGAAAATATTAGTGTACACACACACACACACAACAAACAAAAAAAAAAAAAAAAAAAAAAAAAAAAATTACATTGAAAGAAATGTTTAATAAAGTAAACAAATAAATATTAAGCCTTTTTTTTTTGGAGGGGGGGGGGTAAATTTTCTTAACTTTTAGATCATAAATTCTTCATTATTTCATAAATCACAATTTCATACTTTTAATTTTATAATTTCTGCATGCCATCTTACAGGCTTTAAACTGATGATCTAATATCCGGAAAAATCCATAATCGCCGATGTTCCGACGAGTCCGGATCTTGGACTTTGTACTGTATTTATTTATTGCTTTTTGAATTGCAAATGTAGTTATTTCTTCATAGGCAGATTAATAAATTAATACTATGATGATTCAGCAAATAAATAGATAAATAATTGTCTTTCCAATTGATAAATAATTTAGAGATTAAAAAAAAACCTCTGTAAACTTTAAACTATACATTGCTTTTAAACGAAAAGTCTGGCACTAATTGTTTATCTTACAAAACTAAGATCCTATTTTGAATAGTGAGAAAATTGCACATCAGTTTTATGACTAGTTACAACACCTGACTAGTGATGTTTACATATAAAATACTTTTATCAATTTAAAAAATGAATTAAACTAGAAGGAAGAATTATAGAATCACTATTACAATCAATTCATATATCTGTTTAAATTGCTGAAAGCTTACAAAACATTCCCAAAAGATTTTTTTAATTTATTTGCAAAAATAATTTGTGTATTCTTTGCATATACAAATCACTACATTATAACATAATATAGAGTGAAATGTACACTGTTTTATTATATCAAATGGATGGAATATAAAAAGAAATATTTATTATACTATATTTTTATTATTATCTAAATACTATAGAAATAAAAGAAGTTTTCAATCAAATAATGTCACCCCTTTTCCATCAAACAAAATAACAAACAGTTATTTTACATATTATATTAATTATCAAGCAAAATAATACGAGATAATATAGTGTGAAATACTCTAGATTTTATTAATTTCTTATAAATATATCACATAGCTATTAAATAAAAGTAAAAAAAAAAATTAATGACTAGTACGGTTTTTCCTCTGAATAATTTTATATATATTCTTAATGATATATGCTCTGTAACAAGCATTTTCTGTAAGATGAGTAACAGATGCGACAGTTTTTAAAATATTGATAAAATCTATAAAATTAACAGACATTTTTTAGTTATTTATCGTCATGCTAGTTAATCAACTAAGTTTAAAAATTCGAATTTTTTAATTTTGTCCCTTCTCCAAACATACTGAAAAATTTGGGAAGGGGCAAGTCAGAAAAAAACTAACTATAAAATATAGATGTAGTACAATATTTTTAGTTTATTTTTACTAGCTTCAGAAACTCCAATAAATGAAAATATTTCTACTTATTACAATGGGTTCATAATAATTTAGTCAACATTTTACATTTCTGTTTAAGATAGTTTTATTTTCATTTATTACATTTAATGTTTTATTTATTTTAAGGTATTCTTAAGAATTCTCTGTTTATATAAAATATTGTTCATGGCCACTTTCACTTTTCAATAATTATAAAGATGCTGCTCATACTTTGGAGTTAAAAAACACTCAGATATTATGATATTTAATAAAGAGAATGATGAATTAATGAAAAATGTAACAGGAGAAAAATGGGTATTAGCACAACCACCTTGGCACACTTTGGCGGTTTTTTATAGAAGAAAAAGGTGATTCAGTGAATTTTTGGATTGCAATTTACAATGGATATATTGGCCTAAAGAAATGATATGCATGTGGTTGCCAGAGTTTACAGATTTCTGTAAATTTGGCAGTTTCTTTTAAGGTGGTTGCAAAAATACTTGAGTACCAAAAAATTTTAATATTCTCAAATTTTTAAAATTATCTGACACATTAAATCTTACTACATTTGAAAAGTCTCTTCCCCCTATTTTTCCTTTTAATCTTGTATACTCAAAATAAAGAAAAAAATATGCTGAAACTATTAACTGACAAATGCAATATTTCCTAAAGTAATGACCAAATGGTAATTTAGTCACTATTTTAGCTTAGGTATGACTAAATTACCATTTAATGGTACATTTTCAGATTATAGACTTTTGAAAGCAACATATACAGTATTCTTTTCCATACTGATAAATCTATATAAGACTAGAATTATATCATAAGTATCTGTATTTTTGAATGGAAGATATAATTCTTGTACTCTTAAGCTGAAAACTAATTTTAAATGCAAGAATATAGGATAATATACTGCTAAAGTATGCTAGCTTTTCTATATAATCAATGTTTTTCTCATAAGAATATTTTTTCGACTATTTTCTTTTTCATTTTTGGGAAAAAATTTCAAATAAAATCATAATTTGCATTAACTATGTACAGTCAAATTGTTGATTAAGAGAGATAATTTAAATTGTATGTGTAACCAACAATTTTAACTGTACCCATGAACATATGATATAAGCCAGAATAAAAACACAGTGTAAAAAGTAGACTCAAAACTATTTTTAAAGCTTTACATAAAATTCTGTTTCAGTACAGAATAATAATAATGTTTCTGGATTTGTTTACCATTGTAAAAAGAAAAGTAATTATTAATTAATAAGTTACATTTTTCATACTGTTAATTGCTAGTGCTTTTATGTAAGAAATTATATATTTAGATTTCAAACACATATTCAAACTAAACAGTGTGAAAATTCCTGTTGCATTTCTCTTACTACATTAGTAACTGTTTTAAAGATGATTTAGAAACTGCAACAAATAAATACTATAAAACTATTTTACACCTATATACAATTTGGTTACAGAATAGAATTTCACGTGCACTTCTTAATCAGTAATGCACTAATACAGTCATAACATATAAGAAAAGTCAACATCTAGAAGTTAAAATATATTCTTGTTCATTCATAAATGGCTTTTTTTTTTTTAAAGTTATCAAAAGAAGTAAGTAAATTCATATCCAATAATGACAAAACAAAACACCCCAACACATTAAAAAATTCTGTTCACATAAAATAATTTTACTTCAAAAGATGATTCTTTAAAAAAAAAAGTTAAAAAACCATCCTCAGCATTTTCCATCTCTCTCTCTCTCTCTTTTTTCTTATCATACACTATGCATTTTAAAATCCAAATTCTTGTTATTATCAACAGAAAAAAAATCACCACATAGTTCCTTTCTCGTGTAAGTACAATAAATGCTTTTATAAATATAATAATGAGAAATTGCATAAAACAAATTCTTACAACTTATTACTCTAAATCATTTATTTTGAGCACTGTAATGTTAATCTTTTCGGGACACTCCAAAAAATTAAGTGAAGACCAAATATATTTCACCAAGATTATCATTCAAATAGATGAAAAATGAACACAGGTTGACTAAAAATTGATTTCTGCAGTGGAATGGCAGAAATTTTATTTTGTAATTTAAGCCCTAAGCCACTCGTATTCTTCATCAGAAGATTCTTCAGAAGAAGTGCCTCGATTTGACATGGTCTCTATTCGACGTGATTTTGCAGGAGGAGATGCTGAACGAGCTCGTCTTCGCAATGGACTTCCAGGAGGTGTGCTAGCTGGAGAGAGTGCTTGCCTTAATCTTCCTTTACTCTCTTTCCAAAAGGTATTCTGAAATTGTTCCAATCATAGAAGTAAAAAATTAAGATAATAAGTAAAATTTGACATCCCCCCCAATTAATATATGACTATGTTTACTCAAAGATCCTTTTTTGATAGATTTTTGCTCTAAAATCTGTTATAGTCTTTTAATAAAGTATTCTGCTAAATGAAATTGCAGAATGCAGTGAAGGACTTCAGTTATCATATACATAGAAAAATGACATTCTTTTAAATACTAAACAAAAAACTAAGATTCTCTTTCTCAAATATATGTCACATCAATTCGAATATTTATTTGTATTTTTTTTCTTAAAATTTAGTCTAGAATGTAAGGAAAATCGTATACAGTCAAAAGTCTTTAATCTGGACTCGTCGGGACTTCCGCGATTCCGGATTGTAGATCATCAATTTAAATCTGGTAAGATGCCATGCAGAAATTACAAAATTAAAAATATGAAACCATAATTTATGAAATAAAGAGCAATTATGATCTAAAGGGTATCAACATTTACAGAAAGAAGCTTAATATATATTTGTTTACTTTATTAAACATTTCTTTCAACGCGCACATGCGTAAAGCATACATTACGCATAATCGAAATTAGAAAATTGCAACTAGAAAACTATTTGATGTATTTTCGTGATATTTATAATGACGAGGAATTTGATTTAAATCATATCAAAGACGGAGTACATCGAGATGAAATACTACATTTAATAAGGAATTATAAGCCGAATAAAATAAAAACATCTGCCCTGAAGATAACGATAGTGCTGACAGATCAACTTCCAGTTCATTGCGCGCCGCAACGTCTCCCCCCCTCCCCCGCAGAGCAGCGTGAAATTGATAAACAGAAATTCGGAATGGTTAGAAAAACAAAGGATATGCCTTTATCCATTTTTTTGCAGTAATTCCACTTTTTGTTTGATGGACATCGAAACTTGCTTTTGCTTTGTAGATCCTTTAGCTGCTCAGAATCAGAAATTCTTTTTGACATAATTGAAAGTTCAAGCTTACTTTTATAAAATTGCTCTAACAGTCTGCAAAAAATAATAAGCCGGATCCAATTTGAAGATTAAGAAACAACGTAATCTGCAACATTAACTGAAATAGATAATTTTAGCTTAGCTTATACCGTCCGTTAAACATTAAACGTGCATGCGTAAACGCATTGCGCAGAAAGTTTGTAGCTTTGAGGTCTGGATTAAAGACTTTTGACTGTATTTGAGTAAATATGGTATTAGCACATGTATATATCAAACAAATAATTATTGAGCAAAATCCATGATCTGGAATCATTGGAACTTCAGAAATTCCAGATTGTAGATTCTAAGTTTAAATCTAGTAAGATCACATGCAGAAATCCTGAAATTAAAACTATGAAAACTGTTGAATAATGAACCATTTATGACTTTATCGGAATCAAAATTTACCAAAAAATCTTAATGTTTGATGTTACGCAAATTGCATTTTTAGTCACTGAGCTGAGGAGTGGCACAAATGCAAATTAGTTAGATTTTTAGACATACAAAACTTGGAGCTTCAGTTAGGAGTTACTGAAGTTCCAACAGTGTAGATGTTCTTTTGAGGTGAAGTAAGGTGGAATTCGATTTTTTTTGTCCTTGTTTGGCAAGTTCCCTTCCTATATGATGTCTGTAACAAGAAAAATAAATGAATTTCAGTTGAGATAAATGGTTTGAGATTTCTGGTGTATTACAGCAAGTCTACAGAATACCAATGACAGAACATACAGGTTTGTGGTCCTTTGAGTACAGAGGTGTAGTGCAATTGGTGAGTCACTATACTTTTTGCAATTATATAACGGAATTCACAATGCTTAAGATGAAAAAACTTGTAGCTAAGACTAAGCTAACGACTAAAAGAGAAAGTTACCGTGAGTTACGACTATGCTGATTATGCTCAGTTAAAACATTTAAAATCTATATTAAGCAATTTAATGACTGAAATTCCGGATATTTTTAATAACATTTTTGTAGTTTGTCAAAAATTTTTGTAGTTTGTAACATTTTTGTTTGAGAAAGATACTGCTGATGAGTTATTTTTAATGCTTTAACATTTTTAACATTAATGCTAAATGTTAAAGATGTCAGGGAGCAGGCTAAATCCGAGATATCAAGCATTCACTTACCTAAGACAACTCTTCCTATATTTATTGGTAGTACAGAAGAATGGTTATCATTCAGTGATATACTTAAAATCAGCAATAGTGCATAATGACAAATTAATGGCTGTATAAAAGTCGCAATATTTGGAAATGTTCTTTGAAGTGAGATGCACTAAGAATTGTTAATTCACCATATATTATAGGAATTTTGAAATTAAATGAATTTACGTATCAAAGATTTTCACACAATAGAATTACTTTCATCATTGTATATGAAAATTTTATATTAATCAAATTTACAACCTGAAAATCCCAGTCAGCTGTTGTTCTTTTGAGACACTGGGTTTCAAAGAATAATTTGCCGATACTATTTTGATGTTAACAGTACAATTTAAACTAGATTCTTCTATGACAGGATGGTGGGAAAGAACTTTAAAGTGAGAAGAAATAGTGACCTGCTGTAATTCTTAAAATCTCATGCTAGAATTCTGCAAGCAGATAAACCACAAAATGTCAAGAAACAAAATATGACAGATAAATTTATCTCATTGGCTTTAGAGACTCATGCTCAATGCATGCATCATAAAGAAAGTCATTTAATATTGAAATGTAATACACTGATGTGCAAAACTTAAGCAACAATGTAAATTTTAATTAGATAGCCATGAAATTGCAGAAAATGGGTTCTCTTGTGATCAGTACAATGAACACGCAATTCAGTAGAAAGATCATGCTTATGCAGATGTCAGGAACAAAACGTTACAGGCAACGTGAGTGTACGCAAAACATGTGCGGTCAGCACGTTCAGCTCAAGGCTACAATAAAAGGAAGGATGGAGATGCAATTAAAGACATTCATTGCAGTGTAAGCGAGTTCTTTCGGGAAATACGATTAGAAGAAATCACCTGGATGACTTGAGACGTGGAAGAATGATCGGAAAGCTGGAGGAAGGGCGCAGTGTGACCAATGTAGCTGAAAAGTTCAGAATCAACAAATGTTTCATTTCGCCCACTTGGAAAGTCTTCCAAGCCATAGGTTGTAGAGTCATTAGGTTAACTGGAAGCAGAAAAAATGAAAAGTATGCAACCGCCTACGGCGGGAATCGAACCACGGACCTCTGGAATACCGGCCCGCGTGCTACCGTTACATGTTGAAAGAATCAAGTTCTACCACTAAGTTGAGAATCATTTTTGATGCTTCAACTTGAACAACGACAGGACTTTCATTAAATAACCTTTTGATGATTGGGCCTAGAATTCATGTTTCCAGTTCTTCTACAGTTCAGAACTTGCAAAGTTGTGGTATGTGCCTATGTGGAGATGTTCAGACAAATTCAAGTTCACCCAGAAGATACGAATTGTTAATGAATAGATAGTATGGAACTATAGTCCTAGTGAGCCTCTGAAAGTTACAATTACATATGGAACTGTCTGTCTGTAGAAAGTTACATCTACATATGGAATTACATATGTCTGTGCACCATATTTGCCTACTAGAGTAATGAAATAACTTGCATTAGATAAAACAAGCCAAATTCACTTTGGCATCAAAAAGCTGCTCTTTGTGACTTATTATGGATATTATTAGAAAGCCTGGCAGTCATACGAAATGACCGCTGTTCTAGATATTATAAATTGTAATTAAAATGATTTGTGCAAAGGTGTCTGCTAATTTAAACTGAATTACCCAGGGCAGGCGGCGAGGATGCTCCTTTGCTTACTGCCCACAGGGTTCCCCCTTCTATTTGCTTAATTGTTTAAAGTAGAGTGCAGTGAAGGAAACCACGGGCGATACATTTCTTAAGAGCCCACCGCTAGCTCAATCAATAAAGGTGATTTAAATAATGAAATGTTATATCACATGTCAAAGATCTCTTTGTACATAACATTTCTTGTGTAGATCTTTTCATCATTTTTAAGCTCGCTTTGCACAGGACCATCCATTATTTTTTATTTTACGTCCGTTCTTTCACGAACTTTTGAACAGGCAAATAAAGTTGGTCATGTCCAAATGCAGGCTCAGGTAAAAAAATGCCAACACGCTTAAGCATTTGGCCCTGAGACTTATGGATGGTCATAGCAAAGGCAAGTTTTACAGGAAGTTGTCTACGTCTCAATTGAAACGGCAACCCTGTGCCGTGGCAACTTCAGCCCATTAGCTACTACAGTTATGCAAGCAAGTAATAAACTATCGCCGACAAACAAACACTTAAGCCGCATATATATATGGGGTGAAGTAACATCACCTTTTCTGAAACGGCTGGCTCTCAGGCTTAGCGAAGCACACGGTTGGATTCCGCAGGTCCGTGGCACGCCATTTTGATCATTCACATCTTCTTGGGACTTTAATTAGCCGAGATATTAATTAAAAACTGAATTTCCTCTACGTTTTGCCTACATTTTCCACTTTCTTTCTTGGGTTTTCCCTATTACAGGGATTTGGCTACATGCCAAATTCTTTTTTCTCGAATATCTACGGAACAGCGCCAAGTTGAAATTCGAGACGCGGTGGTGGTGCTGGTAGTTGAGTTAATGGCGCATAACCAGAAAGTTATATGCGCCAAACACATGGTAGTTTATAAAAAGATTGATAACCTTTGTAAAACAATAATTAGCTAAGTCATAAAATCTACATGAAATAATAAAATGGTGAACATTAAAAGGAGTAGGTATTAAAACTCAGCAAATGATATGTAACAAGCGATGAAACACATTAAAATTACACTATAATAAAAGCTAAATTAAATTAAATAATAGAAACCTGTTTCTTTCAGGTATAGAAATAAATTATTATTGGCCTTTTTCCCGATTAAACGGTCAAGAGGCAAGTCACACTCGTTAAAATGCTTTAGTCTTAGTCTATTAAAATTCGGACACTCTATTA